GGAGGTGGTGTCTCACCGGTTCTGCCTAACATTGGTTGCAACAGCATAACGGGCTGAGCCTTGGTTCCTCACTGGCCTATCCCTCTCATCTTTTGCGCCCCCAGTGCAAAGACCAACCATGCCAGTCTCGCCCCGCATCTCAAGCCCATTGTGGGCCAAATTTGGCACATTTAGTGGACCTCTTTGCCTCACATTCCCGTCACCTTTGGTGTTGCGCCTTTAGCTGGAATTTTTTTTGCTCGCCATTTTGCCTTGGGATGTTCAAGATGTAGAAATGAGTGTTGTACTGGTGGAAATTTGTTTGTTTGAGTCTTTTGGATACACAGCTTACTCGCTGGTCATCCCCATCTCTCAGATTGTGGCCTCATTCTGAACTTTCTTTTTTAGCCATGCGTTCTGGCACCGGTACAGGCGTTGCACTTTTCTTCTGCCTTCATTGCTCTGACTTTTTTGTCCGCCCGCAGTCAATTTTCCTGGCGCGGACTAGATTTTCCATCTATGCTGTTCCATTTGCGTACTAGTTTTGCCATTTTTGCCAAAAAAAGCAATTTTGCGTGAGCGATAAGTCAATCGACACCAGATTTAGGAATCAAAGCCAAGTGTGTGAATCAGAGGAAACTTCCCCATTATCAAGTCTGTGACCACGGTGGACCAGATCTTCTGAATGACGCTATTCACCGCTCCAGTTTTTTACTGCAGAATTGATACTTTTCGCAACAAAGAAGGTGAATGTCGATACATTGCAAGCTTCTCAGGCAGCCTAAGCCAACAGTCTGTATCTAATAGACGCACAGCTCTTCGAAGCACTGCCATGTATTCTGTGCTGCTCAGTCGTCAGGCTTGCCGAAGAGAATTCTGGGCATGATTCAAACGGATGCAGACAAAACCAGTGGTTACCTAGCATGCGCAAATTTAACGGAAGGGACTCTCGTGTCGTGTTCTCACCCTCTTGTGCAACTTGCAGCATTTCTCCGTCTGTGCCGCGAGAAAGGGGTACACAGTGTCAAAGGTCCTGTGATGTATAGCTTGTGTAGCACTCGTCGTTGAAGCCACCAGCTCGCAGTCACTCTCAGGGTGAGCAAGACTGCAAGAGCAGTGGAAGAGTCAATGTGAAAAGACCTCAACGTCGCATTTCTCACTTCGAAATGTCCAGCGAGACTCACATCGTCAATGAGCCACTTGTCACCCCATCACTATGAATGCTGTCACTCATGTCACACCCCACACTGATCCTCAGCCGAAACTTCTCGGCATCAAGCGCTATACAAACGATCAAGGAATGCTTCCGACCTGGCGAACAGAAAATCAGATCAGTAAGAAAGGGAAGTTACACGTAATTAGACAAGGTGTTTCTGCTGCCAAGTAATGCAATGCGCCTTTCACCTCCAAGGTTGCCTTTCGTGGCACAAGTACGCCCCCCATGAGCAGCTACATCGCGAAGGGGCAGACTTGTGCTTGAGCAGCCGTCTTTGCGTCATGTTTTGGTGCAATCACCTCCTATTCTTATGCAAAGCACAGGGACTCTCTTCATTTAGACGACGAGCATCGCTACTCGCTGTTAGCCTTTGCAACAAGGCTAAGTGATGTTTTGCCAGCTCTTTCTCGTTCTTGTCACTGTTTACCGCTGAGGACGTGATGACGATATGGATCATCGCTTGCTGCTGCTCCATGCGACTGGTCATGTTCGTTCATTTCACCTCTTTGACCCCCAGCATTGTTTTGAATAACAACAGGGATTTCTACTGCCATCACCAATGCAGCTGCTCCTTCACTTTTTGCTCACGAAATCTACGTCCTAGGTCCTTTTGCATGCCTACCACG